TCAGAGCCTGACAGACTGATGTCACGACTACGCACCTGATGACGACCAAGTTCACGACGTGAACAAGTCTGGTTCATGGTGTGAATAGCGAAATTCAACCCTATAAATAGAAATCGAAGGCAGCCGGTTTTGGTTGGTAATTTCTCAACCTCTCTCCTACTTCTCTCATCTTTAAGCCCACTTTTAACCCCCCCGAAGTCCCGGTATCATCCCCGATACCCGAAGCGAATCTCGACGCTCCGAAGATCCCGAGAAGAAAAGAGTTTCAAGTCGAAGCTCTGCCCGCGAGAAGCCCGGTGTGTGAAGATATCCCGGTTACATCAAAAGAATAGTACTTGAAGAGCCGTAGTGCTGTCCGAGCATCGTCTAATCAAGTGAGTGTATAGTCACTTTCATCTTACACATAGATATGAAGTATTTTATAAAATATGTGCTATGTGTATATATATATTGTTTGTTTATTAAGATAGATCAGACATACCTGATCCGGGAATATGGATTAGGTAAGGAGGTAAATTTTAGATCCGGGAGTACGGATTATGTATTTTTGGAACTATGTGTTCATCCGATAAGGTATCATGTGCATAGTCCCTTTCATGGACATGATTTTAATACAAGTATTGATTAAAGTATTAAATATATATGTATGTGAAATATTTGTTATTGCCTGAAATACGTGTTAGATATATATTTGATGATATACAACGTGCGAATCAATTATGGTTCAATATGTGTTAAGATGTGTATATATGATATTATTACTTAAAACTGTGTGTTAAGTATACACTAGTTAGCGTTGCCTAAACGGAGATAGTATCGAAAATTGATTATAAGCATTGTAGGTTTGCCTAGTGATGGGTTAAGACTTAAAAAGGGATGTTTAGTTCAATTAAGTTTGGACATTGGGTAGCCTCTTATTAAGAGTACGTGTGTGGTGAGATCGATGATCGGTGGAGTACGTCCTACGTACAGAAGTACATTTTATGTACGAAGTCCTTTTCAAAGCCATGTGTCTTAGGTGCTGCTTGTGCCGGGGTATTATTATGTTCTCGGGTACGAGTCTTACGCATACCAGAGTACTATAATGTGCCAGAAGTACTATCATGTACAAAGTCTTTTTGACACTATTGTGTGTCGGTTACGGGAGCGTACGGGAGTACTCTATTAGTATTTCCCCATACTTTTTATTTTGAAAGAGCTTTGGAGTCGGCGTTTCTTTTATGAAGTGATCGGACGAGCTTCATATGTCAGTGTTTCCTTTCATGAAGTAATTAAGGGAACTTCGTAGACTGCCTAATAAAGTGGATCGGTAATAGATCACTACTAGGTATGTCTGGTGTTATATTGCTGGATAGGGTGAGTCTGGGGGTAAAATACCTCACGATATTCAGACCACTGCTAGGCAAAGTTCGATGCTGGATAGGGTGAGTCTGGGGGTAAAATACCTCACGATATTCGGACCACGACTTGGCATTGTTATCTAGATAACTACCCCTGACTTAATTGTCTTGTGGTTCTTTCTTTTACGAATGAAGGTTCGTGGTGAAACTTATTCCATTCCCCTCATTTGATGTCTTTATTGATCCTCATTTGTTGCCAGGGAATTTCCGAAGCAACTTCGTCAATTTGTTGTTCATATCGATTCCTTAGGCTAGATCTCTTAAGATCCATGTATAGGGTCAGTATGTGGGGATCGACGGGATGGGATAGATTGTTTTAGAAATATGATATATATGTGTTAATAATAATAGTGGCCTTGCAGGATTTAGATATACATTATTATCACATTGTTTGAACTAGGTGTTCATTAAGTATTTTCAAACGGAGTGTTTACCAAGTATTTTGATTTAAGTGTTCACTAGTTGTAATCTAAATATCCTGGCAGCTGCGCCTAAAGGATTATATTGGCAGCTATAGATTTAGTGCCTTATAGATGTACGTTGGAAGTTATGGATTTAGTGCATTATAAATGTACGTTGAGAGTATGGATTTAGTATTGTATAGATGAATATTGGTATCTATGGAATTAGTGTCTTTTGTATAAACCTTGGCGACGATGTACTTTGTGCCTATTTGACATAAATTGCATAGGAAAGCAATGTTGTCACCCCTTTGGTTGTCTATTCGACATAAATTGCTGGGGAAAGCAATGTTGTCACTCCGATGGTTGTCCTATTTGACATAAATTGCTAAGGAAACCCCGAAGCAGAGTTGTCGCCCCATTGAAAATCCTTAGACTATGTCCCTTATAAATAGATACTTTAGGGACGTAAAGTGAGGAATACGGGAACGGGTAATCTCTTTAGGAGAATCCTTAGGAATGAATAAATGGATGACAGATGATTAAACATAATAAATTTACTTATTGTGGGTTGAAAACCCTATATGTTCACCAGGCTCCCAAGCCTGACCCACTCAATTTTTCTGTATTACAGGTAGTGGAACAAGAGCATAGTTGGACGATGACGAGGGATTTTGGGTTATAGGCCAGTAGATATAAATAAATGTTGTAAGGCCTTTATGATACTGTTTATGCTTTTGGTCTGTATCGGAACATGACATCCCGAGGTTTTATAATATAATGAAAATTCATTTCTTTAAGAAATGCTTTGATAAACTTTTATCATATTTTGTTTTGGGAACAAATTTCGCAACTCTTTTAATCAAAGGATTACTTTGATTTTATTTTAAAAGCATAAATTAAATCGGTCTTTTCTGGCCGTGAAATTGGGAATGTCACATGTATAGATCTATATGGGTTTGACACTCACACCTGCGGTTGCTAACGACAACATTGGCGGTAAAGTCACAACAAGGATAACTGTCTAAAATTTTTAGGACGTCCAATGAAGCATCGTGGGAGGGCATATTCTATACAAGTCGAAAGCTCGATTATAGGAAATCGTTGTAACATTATTCATCCAACCTTAAAATAATAAAAGAATATACGAACCTTTGATATGGGTATGCGTAAAAGGGATGGTAGTAAATATATACTTGTCGGGGTACGCCTAAAAATAAATGGAAGTATACTTATATATATATATATATATATATATATATATATATATATCACTTACATCAAATAAAGTCTAAGGGTTTTTGGAATGTGTATAGTACGTCAATTAAGGGTAATAATATAGAAATAAGTATGAACCACATGTATACTATGAATGATAACCCTAGTTTGTAGGCAATGACAATAGTGTCCATGAACAGTAGAGCACTACCTTTGCAATAAAATGTATAACAACATTATGGTAAAGGAGTATGTCCTTAGTAAACATCCCTTTAATATAAAAGTTCATATTTAATAAATATACTTATAAAACAAGAAGTACTTTCTATACAAATAAAAACATGTGAACTCACTAACGTTATGTTGATCCGTTTTGAAAATCACATGTATTGCTAGGAAATCAAGAGAAGGAAGTTGCTTATCTGGAATTCAAGATGTGAAGTGGACATCGTTTATAGATTAGTATTATATTTATATATAGCCTAATGTTTGAGGCATGGAGCATAGTGAACTTTGAATACATTTGTAACCGTTTACAAAAGCTATACAATCACTAGTTATGTTATAATATATTTATTTACTGTTCAATGTATGTTCAATGACTGTGATGCACAAAGAATGTCGCACAACCCAGTGTTTTTGTCGCCTGGCGGGGGTGTCATAACACCTCTTTATCCATAAATCCATCATTTGTTCCTATGTTGATCAGTTCGGTGATAATGTGCTACCCATCCCGATTTTGATCTCTTATATGTAATTAAAAGAACTGATTAAAAAAGAAGAGCAACAAAAAAAAGAGAAAAAACCTTTAATTATAGGAATGGGTTGTTCCTGGGTTGCATTAATTTTTCCCCAAAAACAAAAACACTGACCAAAGGGGTTCTCCTTCTCTGTCGGAGAGTGAAATAGATCAAAGCCTTAATTTTAAATCAAATCATGTTAGAAAAAGCAGTGTTGCAGAAATCGGTCGATTAATCGGCGATTAATCGCTAATCGGACCTCCACCGATGAGATTTATTGCTAATCGGTCACTATAATCGGGTTTGGTCAATACAGGTCAAAGTCGGAATTAATCGGACCTAATCGGGCCTAATCGGACTTAATCGGACCTAATCGGGTTTGGTCAACGCAGGTCAAAGTCGGACCTATTCGGTCCTAATCGGGCCTAATCGGACCTAATCGCCGATTAATCGCTTTTTTTGTAGGATTAAAATTAGATTTATAAATTTTTGAATAATTTTCTTAATAATTAATGGTACCCGATTAATCTCCCGATTAATCCCCTCCTAGCTGATTAATCCCTAATCGCTAGTCCACCGATTAGCGATTTCTGCAACCATGAGAAAAAGAGAATAGAGATCAAATCAGGGAAGATACAAGTTATAGCTTCTTGAGTTGTCGGTGGAGGCAACGTCATTGACGGAGGCTTGGTCTAAACACAGAGAGAGAGAGAGAGAGAGAGAGAGAGAGAGAGAGAGAGAGAGAGAGAGAGAGAGAATTGTACAAGTCTGATAGTAGGGGTGGGGTGGGCTCTACTTTTGATTTAAATAATTTAAATATTAAAAAAATGAAAAAAAAAAAAAAAAACAAATTAACAACGTAGAACAGTCTTTTAAGTTCCTCAAACAACAAAACCGCAATTTTTTGATATTGGACATTCCATACAAATCAATAACTTTTTGGACCTATGTATAGTTTTTTTTTAGGGATCAATTTTGCACTTTTGGTCAAAATAAAGTATAATGATTCAAAAAAGATAATTCACTTTATGCCTTTGGACAAAGTCCTCTCTTTTTCACTTCATCATCTGAAACCATAGACCAAGTTAACTTATTGACTTCTACAACACACACTTGATAGGGGCATATACATATATATAAAAGAAGTGATCGGCTGTAACTTCATCTTGAAGAATAGCTGCATATTAGGGTAACAGTTTAGGGTTTCGTGTGTGTGGAATTGAAGTGTGCATTTTAGTGTAATGGGCAGATCTCCGTGTTGTGATAAAGCCAAAGTTAAAAGAGGCCCATGGTCACCTGAAGAAGACGCCATTCTCAAGAACCATATTCATAACCATGGCACCGGTGGCAACTGGATTGCCTTGCCTCACAAAGCAGGTCTCTTTATATTCTCCCCCCTTCCTGTTATGTACATATATGCTTCACCATCTCTCTCTCGAAGTATATATCTTCCTCTTTAAAGAAAAATAGAGAGGAGAAGATTTTGTTCGAGCAGTATCTAATAAAGTCTTTAAACCAGAATGCTCATAAGATTCGTGTATTTTCTTTAATTATTTCTAGTTCCTCGTTCTAAAAACACAAAGGGTGGTCAAGAAATTGAACAAAAGTTCTTCCTTTTTGTTCTTGATGAAGTTTTACGAGGTCCCGTTTGCTTATCCAGAATATAATTTGATTAAGCTTTATGGATTTGGGTCTTTTCTTTAATCTTTCACTTTCTTTGTAAGTTAAATCGTTTTGATTTGATGTGCTAGGGCTGAAACGATGTGGGAAAAGCTGTCGACTGAGATGGTTGAATTATCTACGACCGGATATAAAGCTTGGAGGGTTTACTGAAGAAGAAGATAATATTATATCATCTCTCTACGTCAATATCGGAAGCAGGCTTGTTCATATCTTAAACTTTATAATTTAGTTAATGATTGACTTTTTACATTATCATTCTTTGTCTTTTTGTCGATGATTCACTATCATTTTTCTTTATATATGTAGAAAGAAAAACAAATGAGCAGTTTTTGACAATTTTAAAATATATATGCAGAAAAATTAAACTGCTATATAATTGATATTGCTCATTCCGTTCACTAATCTTGTTAATGTAGTGTTTATCTGATTTTAAGTAAAAGGTGATCGACTTATTGGCAACGAAATTCTATTCTAATACAATTAGTTATTTGAAAAGTTAATAAATGAAAAAAAAAATGATCAAGTTTCTAATATCAAGTAATAAATAACTATATATTCAAAAGGATTATATTTTTTGACGATGCAAAATGAAAAATATATTACGTTTATTATATGTTACATGGTTATATATGTATATATAATTCCTGAAGAATATGTCGTTTAAAATTTTAGGTGGTCTGTGATTGCTTCCAAGTTACATGGAAGAACTGACAACGATGTCAAGAATCACTGGAACACCAAGCTGAAGAAGAAATTATCTCTATCGCATAACACCAGCAATGCCGCCACCACTTCTGCCGCCCCCATCAATCACATACAATTTAGCTCTCCGACAAATCTACCTAAACAAGAAGTCGATCACTATCAAACTATATATAAACCTATCTTCGACCACTCTATGATGATGGATTATCAGCAAACCCCGATGACATCAGATTCAACAAGTAACAGTACTGTCAACGTTAACATATTGTCTTCACCAGAGAATCACGGTTTTTCTCCTAATGCATTTCCAATCAGCAATGGCTATGCCTCTTGGTGTGATAATGGTGGAGGAGTGATAGACTCCGGCAGTGATTTTTTGACTGGAGAATTTGATTTCCGGCAAGTGTTTGGTGAAGTTGCTAACTTTAATTATGCATCTCCATGGCTCTAAAGTTGAAGAAAAAATGGTGAAGGTTACATAGCTAGGAACCGATAACTAAAACTAGCAGACCTTGTTCTAGTTCAAGTATTTAGCTAGGTCGTTTTTATATTAATCTTTGATATCATATGAATATGTATGTATGTAAATATATTATTATCATCTAAATTTACATGAAATTGATAATTGCATAGATTATTTTCTACAAGAGAAATTTTAGATGGACATTAACTATGTTCATGGACACACCTTATTATCAAAAAACTTTTTTAGGAGTTTTGGCCAATTAAGAGTTTTCCGTCAATAGAAAGTGGATCACGAAACTTGTCAGTGTATCTACGGATAAAAAAATTATGGTCTTTTTATGTTGGACCTCTTTACACCTTTTTTATAAGTACAAGGAAAACGATCATTAGCGGCGACAAAAGTCGCCGATAAGTCAAGTTGTCGCCGGTAATAGTAATAGCGGCGACGCGTCGCCGGTAATGAGTCGCCGCTACTGCTTCGTCGCTATTGATCAACTTGTCGCCGCTAATGAGAGATGTCGCCGCTAATGACCCTGTCGCCGCTAATGAGGTGTGTCGCCGCTAATAACGAAGTCGCCGGTAATAACTCTGTTGTCAGTAATAGTATCGCCGGTAATAACAATTTTCATTTTTTTAATTTTTTTTTTAATTAACGATTTTGGTTGCCGGTAATAATGTCATCGGTAATTACATAACAACATTCGATTAAATATCAAAAATAATAGTGTCGACGCTAATTACAAAACAAACATCCGATTATAATTAATTAAATATCAAAAGTCATAATATCCGATTAAATATAAAAAGTAATAATGTCGCCCGGTAATTACATAACATCCGATTAAATATAAAAAGTAATAATGTCGTCCGGTATTAGTGTTGCCGGTAATTACAAAAAACAATCAAAGTTTTACAATCTACCAAGTAGCAAAGTGTGACAACGTATGAAAATAAAACTCATCCCTACATACCATCATCTTCGTTCCCATCGTTTCCTCGATTATTTTGGGATTGAAAAAACGAATAAAGCTCATCCCTACATGCTAGGTCGTTGAGCATTGCACGAAAATTTTCCAACTACATAATTAATAACAACATATACAAACTTATAAGTTAAATTATCAAACATAAACAAAAACTATCAAAATACAATGTTATTTTTAAACTAAGACAAAAAACCAAAGTACGTTGTTATTTTTTGCACTTGGGACAAAAACCTAATTACCAAAGTTTTTAGCAAATAATCACCACAAAACCAAAATTACCAAATCAACATGCATTTTACGATGCTAAAGTAGATTGCTATTTTTAAACTAAGACAAAAAACCAAAATACTTTCTTATTTTTTGCACTTGGGACAAAAACCTAATTACCAAACTTTTTAGCAAATAATCACCACAAAACCAAAATTACCAAATCAACATGCATTTTACGATGCTAAACTAGCTTACTATTTTTAAACTAAGACAAAAAAACCAAAGTACGTTGTTATTTTTTGCACTTGGGACAAAAACCTGATTACCAAAGTTTTTAGCAAATAATCACCACAAAACCAAAGTAGATTGTTTTACCTGTGATGGTTGTGATGGTTGTGGTGATGGTTGCGAAGGCTGTGGAATCGGCGGGAAAGCAGAAGGATTACGACCAATGCCTCTAATATGGTCACGTCGCTCTCCTAATACTTTCTCAAACGCAGCTCTTTCTTGAGCAGGTGTTAACTCACTTTCACCTTGAGTTTGTTCTAACAGCTCTTCAACTAACCGATTCTGTAACTCCCAAAAGTGAGTAACAATTAATTATAAATAAACATTTAATTATATGATAAAATTATAATTAAATACTTACATATTGTTGTTCCGCCTCAGCAGTAACAAATACACCATTCTTATCGATATGAGCTTTGCGAAACTTTCCACTCTCTTAAGGTTCTGTTTAACTTTAAAAATTAGATTATATTTTAAATAAATAATTACATGTATCGTACGTTACCTTCTTATAGCAAGTACTGTTATACGAGCTCGACCCCTCACGATTCACATTTGTTTGCATTTCACGGATTTTTTTGTTCCTTTCTGAAGCAATTATGTGTTCGTTTGTTTGGAAATACTCAACTGCTTTCTTCCAGTTATCAACTTCCATACCCTTTGGAGGCTTGGCTAATGCTCCAGGGGTATCTTCATACCCTCCGACTGACATAAAATATTCTTTTGCGTCAGCTTTACGTTCTCGATAACCTTTTAACAAAGCTGCTTGAAAACTCTCTGTCAACATATTAGCTTGTACATCCCGGTACATCTGATCCAAATCAAACTTTGTCTACAAAAAAAAAGTTAACCAAGTAAAAAACAATTATAGTTAACCATATAAAACAATTATAGTTAACCATATAAAAAAAGTTAACCAAGTAAAAAACAATTATAGTCAAACTTTGTCTACGAAATTCTCTCTTTTCATCACTTTGGGGATGTTCAGATTTGAATTTCCTATGTTGATGACCAAAAGATATAGATTTAAAAAGATAAAAAAAAATTAAGGATGAAAGTTAGAGATAAGATTAGTTACTTGATATACTGTGTGACTTCTTCACAGCTATTTAATACAAACCATTCCATGTTACCCATTTCCGTTAAATTAAGAGTTTTGATTTGAGTTGTGCTGGTCGGTCGACATTTAGACTCAAACATCCAAAACTTTGTTTTTTCAATGACAACATCTTCATTTCTTTCAGGACGATTCTTTACATCTCGAAGGTACATCAAACAAAATGATAAAGCTTCTTCAGCAACATAACCCTCAGTTATAGAACCTTCCGGCCTCGCCTTGTTTCTGACATAGTTTTTTAGTTTTTTCATATACCTTTCGAAGGGATACATCCATCTCATACATACCGGGCCTCCGGCAATCGCTTCATCAGGTAAATGCAAAAGTAAATGAACCATAATGTCAAAAAAACGCTGGAGGATAAATCAATTCTAACTTGCACAGGATTGCAATAATGTCTACTTTTGCTTTCCTAATATCCTCCATCTTCAATGTTCTGGAACAAAGTTGCTTGAAAAACGTACAAAGGTCTACAATAGGTGTATAAGTGTCTTTGTCTAACAACCCTCTTACTCCAATCGGTATCAAACGTTGCATAAGAATGTGGTGGTCATGCGATTTCAACCCAATAATGTTAGTATAGGTATCGTTCACTTTCTTACTGATGTTAGAATCAAACCCATCTGGCAGTTTAACATATTTTATAAATTGACAAAAGAGTTGTCGACTAGATTTCGTGAAAGAGTATCTTGCATGGGGTCTATGAAACTTGTCACTATTTTTTTGCAACCATTCATTTCTCCGAATGTTTAGAATTCTCAAGTCCTCTCGTGCATTTGATGTGTCTTTGCTTTTATCGTTCATTAGAAGAGTACCTAACAAACTCTCGTCCACATTTTTCTGGACATGCATGAGATCTATGTTGTGTTTCAACTGTAGAGAAGACCAATACTCGAGTTCGAAGAAGATGCTTCGTTTCAACCAGTTCAACTCGTAATCTTGCCGCTTTGGCTCCCCGCCTCCATGCTCAGGATGTTTACCCGGTTTACGAGTTAGTAGACGACCTAGTTGATCTTGTATGTCGTCATTACTAAAGTGTCTCGAAGCGGGTCTTGTCTCTTCCATCCCGTTAAAGTCCAACCTCTTTCTTAACGGATCATTAGCATCTAGGAAACGACGATGACCGATATATACAACTTTGTTTGTTGCACGGTACGAAGGAGTGTCTTCATTGCAAGTAGCACATGCTCTATACCCTTGCCCACTCCAACCTGATAGACTACTACGAGCTGGCCAGTCGTTTATTGTCCACAACAACATAGCTCTCATCGTGAAGAATGTGTTTGTCGCCGCATCTTTAATACGTACGCCTGAGTTCTACAAATGTTTAAGCTCTTCCACCAACGGCCTAAGGAAAACATCCATATCCTTACCAGGAGCTTTCGGGCCGGGAATCAACAAAGTCAACATGAATGATGACTCTTTCATACAAAGCCAGGGTGGCAGATTGTATGTGGTGAGTATGACCGGCCATGTGTTATGTGGATTACACATGTTTCCAAATGGATTGAAACCGTCAGCTGAAAGACCTAGGCGTACGTTACGGGGTTCACTCGAGAAGTTGGGGTATTTTTTATCAAAATCTTGCGAATGTTCCCCATCAACAGGATGAAGCATCACACCATCTTCTGAACGTCCGGTAGTATGCCAAATCATATTTTTGGCAGTGTGCCTCGAACAATATAAACATCGTAGTCTAGGGGCCACAGGAAAGTACCGTAACACCTTATGAGGTACTTTCTTACCCTTGGTGTTTTTATCGATCCATCGGCTCTGTTTACAAACGGGAAAACTTGCAATGAATCGTGTTCTTTCCAAAAGAGACAACAATCGTTTTTGCACACATGTATCGACTCATACCCCAGACCAATAGACTTCAGTTTCTTTTTGGCTAGATAATGTGAAAGGGGAACCTTGTTGCCTTTGGGAAATGCTAATTGCAACAACTCAAGGAGTTGATCAAATGAACTATCAGTCCATTTGTTGTTCACCTTGATATGCATTAACTTTGCTAGAAACTCAAGGGACGAAAAGATGCAACCAGGATACAATTTAGTTTCCACTTTTTCCAACAACTGTGCAAAATCATCATCCACACCGCTACCCCTTGTATTCGAGGTTCCTTCATCAAGGCTGGTATCATTTTCTCTCGACTCCCACATCACATCGTGGATTAAATCATCCATTTCGTTACTTGGCAAGACGACTGGAGGAATAAAAGATTCACCATGATAGATCCAAATTTTGTACGACATACTGAAACCATTTATAAATATATGGCGTTCAACTACAGTCGGGTACTTGAAGTAACGATTATCACATTTTTCACACGCACATCTGATTTTACCATTACTATCAAGGTGTGACTTGGACTTCTCGATAAAA